TGAGTGTTAAAGAAATCTAAAAGCTTGAGTGAATGAGAAGAGTAGAGCATTAATTGATCAATGTGCAAGGCCATCAGAGAGGCAAATGCAGCTTAATTGTGATTTTTTCATTCCGAACAGAGGGTTAAAATGGCTTATAGACTGAGTGCAATATGGGAGCTGATGCCAAATTGGGTTCTCTGAGTACCTCTTGTACACAGTTCCTTCAGCTGCCATTAACATCACCTCATAAGACTGGATCTTATGAAGCCAACTCTCTTTGTACTCACTGAAATCAATACATGTTTTTACATGATCTTAGTGCATAAAGGGACACAGGCAAGTAAGTCTGAACCAGAAAATCAATCCAAAATACCTTTGTCACAACATACTTTGTTCAATTAAAAAAAGAAGTTATCTAAATCAATACACAAGTGACCTTCTGGTAGAAAAATCTTACACTTTTAATGTCAGTACAGCTTAAAAACAGATATTTTCATGAACAAGAAAAACATTAACTATAATGTCAGTGAATCAAAAAGAGCAGTTCTCACAGGTTTCTAATAGAAAATCTGGAGAAGACAAAATCTTGGCAGAGACTAATTATATTTTGATTTTGGAACGTCAGTGTCTCATTCCATTCCAATCATTCTATCAACTATTTTGCAATCTGCTTCCTCTAAAACAAAATAACATTTCACCACCTTACAAAAAAAATGACCCTAACTGTTGTGACCATAAACTGAGTGCATTTTTTAACTAGAGTATTTAGGAAGTGACAGCATTATGTACCATCCCTTTTGAAGTGGGCTATAGTACATATGGAGATACTGGAGTTTAAAATCCATGGAAGCTCTTCTTTTTTTGCGAAATACTATTCTAATTTTGATTTTATAAAAAAAATATATATATAATTATAATATAGTTATGCAGGTTTTGGATGGGATGTGTGTTGTGATTATTCCAGGTTATTTATAGGAAAATGCAACACCAAATGAAAATTAGGGAATATAGAACTCCAGCAAAGCATCAAAAAGGCAACAGATAAACTATTACTGTGGAGATTCCTGCCTGCAATCATTCTGAAATAAGATTAATTTTCCACAGTAGAAAGAGGATAGGATAGATATAGATAAAAAATATATACTCTGTAGACAGTCAGGAGCTAATGTGCTGAGCAAGCAGTCCAACCAAAAAACACCATGTAGATTCAAACTGCTTGACAGCTGGAATGGAAAACAACCTTTCTGTTGTATATCCCATCATAATTAAACAGCCTTTAAAGAAGCTGTATGGACAATCCCTATGCAACACAGTTCAGAGCAACTTGACATAAGTCAAAGTACCCAATTCAAGGTGGCCTGCAGAAATACTCTTGATCAGTATCCAGGAAACTATAAACTGAATTCATAGCGCTGCCTCTTAAAAACAAACAAACAAACAAGCAAAAAAACTATAGAGGGGAGACAGTTAAGAGATGTCTGCTTGGGGAAGAGATGAGAGTATCATAAAATCATAGTATCAAAACAAAGGGAGACTGAGTGTTCTTAATATGGGTCTCTGGGGACCATTAGATGAAAAAGAAACAAAGTTGGCAATTAATGACCTTCAAGCTTTTCCAGAATGCTGTTGATGGATGACAACGCTAGGTAGTAAAAATAATAAGGAACATGACAACCCACAGTCCATAAAGCCCCTCCAAAATTATAAGAATACACATTTTTACAGTATCCATTGAGAAGAGATGAAGCTGATTTGACTGTTGCTAGGTGTTCTACCTTCTTTCTGTACTGTACACATCAACAAATATAGTGAATTAATCCCAATCCTTGTTATTTTCTTGCATTTTACTAGAAAATAGAAATGAATTGTCCTACACTGGTCTTATTTAGCTGGACAGAAATGAGAAAGTGCCAAGTGTTTTCTACTGTGTCAATAATGAATTGAAGGAGTCAGTGTAACTATGTCCCTTGATACAGGGAGTTTTCTGTTTCTTATTAGTGTTAGTTATATCAGAACATAACCAGGGAGTGGGCACTATTTAATCCTGCAACTCTTCATACTTCATTAGTGTTTTGACATAATTTGCTATGATATCATGGCTTATTTATCAAACTAAAGGAAAATCAACATTATAACATAACAGTGTAGTGAAAATGTACTGTTAGTCCTTTTATACAAAATGAAGAAGACCAAGTGTTTCATTTGCTTTAGTCTGCTTGTGTTTATGAAATGTTGTCTACCTTTTCTTTACTAGTACCAAAGATAAAAGAGTATTTTTACTTCCAAATTGACCAAGGAATATTTTTGGAAGTAATCTCTGTATTTTACAGGGTCAAAATATAACTAATGAGGTTAGATCTAAAATTTTATTCATTCAATGAAAAATATGAACTATAATATGAAAAAACAGTGCAGCTTCAAGCTAAGACCTAATGTTTACTGATACTGATACTGTGGCCATAGGTACTCAAACACTGCACCGATACAAAAGCTACAGATATTTGGTTCCTGTGATAAACAGACTAAAAATGCATTTTTATGAGAGCATGTTCCCAAGTACAGAGATTTTCAGACTTAGTAAAATCCTTTTCTAATGTTATGATATAAATATGTCTAAATTCAGATTAGAATAACTCTCAATCACTTTTTTCCTTTTTGCAAATGTCATTCTGACTTAAGGCACATTAGATATTTAGAAGCCAATAGAGACACCCGAGCAACAGCCATAGTGTAATAAATGGTAAAATGATAATATTGCTGCCACTGGAAGTACCATTACTTTAGTCACAATTCAATTCCTTTACACACACCTAGTATATTAGCTATAGGAAAATAAATCGTCTGAGGAATATACCATATTCTCTGAACTACCTAAAAGTGGAGGAATATAGGCCTAGCATCACTGGTCAAAAAGCTTTAGTTTTTGAAAGACTGGAAGCAATTGCAATTTGATGAGAATGTTCTTTCAAGTTGCCCCCTTTTTGCCTCTCTAACTCCTGTTTCTGTAAAGTTACAGACTACTGTGCAATGGCATGAACTCAGCAGATGGGTCCCTCTCTCAAGTAATGATACCCTAAGGGTTTAAGAATTTTTACTGGAATATAACTTCTCTGTAACTTTTTTTTTTTTTCCAGTCATATCAGTTCAAATGTTTTGCCTAAAATAATTGCATTTTTCATCTCATTAGTCATAGAGTCATTGTTTAGATATTAATTGAAAATACCCATGATTGTGTTTACCCATGAGAGCCTTGTATTTGGAATGCATGTCTGCTATTCTCTGCAGACTATATAATAAATAGTTTTGGCAACTATTTTCACCTGTACTGGCTGGCACAGAAGCCACGCATGGATTTCACCACAAAACAGCTTACCTATAGAAGGTTGCTTTTAAAGTTACCTCCATGGACAAAGTGAATTGTGCATTGGCTTCAAGGATTCTTCACCACCCATGTTATGCATCAGACAGAAAAGAATTAAGGATACTTCTCAGCTATCTTGCATTAGTTTTGGAATTTAAAGCTACTTGACAAATCTTATTTTTTCATAATTAAGATTTATCAGAAAATACAAAAACCTTATTCCTGAAAATAGAAAAACCTGAATAAGGTTTCAGTTTCACATCTTTATACTCACATAAAAAGCTTCCTGAAAAAGGTAAATTTCCTCCAAGTAAGAACAGAGATGTTAACAAGTCTAAATTATTTTCAGGTGTTAGACCTGGACCTGGATCTAACCTTATGATTGAAGCCAAAACTTAAGACAGAAAAAACAAAAATCAAAGCATGAATACTTGAACTAAATCACTAAATCACGATATCATGTAAAACATTCCCAGCTCAATTTTGAATCTCGATCTAAAATCTGAAAATAAGACCTAATTCAAATAATTTTATTTATATATTTTTTAATTGACTGTGTCTCTGAGCAGGATGAGAAAAAAAGGAGTCTGAGCATCTATTAGTGGTAAAACTAACTTACTGTTTAACAAAAAAAAAAATAAATCTGCTGCTGTGAAACATGTACACATCTATGTATACGTAACAAACTATTTTGTGTACACCTAAATCACAACAAAGATTTTCATGAGTCTCTACTGAAATGGTCAAATTGCATTAATGAATTTTCAATTCTCAAACTTGAATTGTGACAAAAAAAAAGCAATTCTTTAAGTTCTATCGTCCATGTCAGTCTATATATTTTATTACTCTCTAATCAAATCTATCTCCTAACTCCCCCATGAAACAACTTTAATACATGTAACAAACAACATGTAACACATATCCAGACTGTTACAGCAACAGAAGATCTGCAGTTGAAAAAGATTTGCCAACTTTTGAATTTATGTGTGTTCCATGTATAGCATGAGCCAGAAAATGCAGATACAGATCTATGCTGATCAGGACATACATGTACATTAAAAAGGAATGCAGAGAAAGAGTTGTGCCTCCAGTATACATTAAATGTAAAGTAAATCTGTGATAAAATAATAAAAAATGTTCTTTATTGCAGCTTTTCTTTTTAAATCATTTTTCCTTGTAACTACCAATTGTTCTAGTCTTACAAATAAGCATTGAAACATTTCCTTTTCATGAATGAAGTTCTGTCCAGCCTGCAAGCAGGGACGTCATCTCAAGAAAATGCACAGAAGTGCAGGGAAGATCAGGGACTGCAAAGGAAAACAGAGCTTAAAAAAGGACAGCTTTGTTTATTTGACCAAAATAGAGAAGGTAGCAGAACTGTTCTTTTTTTTTTTTTTTTTTTTAGTTTTTTTTTTTTACTTTTGGAAGGAAATTTACTAGAAAAAAAAATCTTTGTTTTGCTAAAGATCACAAAACCAGCTTCAGATACTTCTAAAAGATGTTTTTGTAAAGCTTTTTGATTACTAACAGTTATACTGACTCATAAGAGCAATGTTGCAATGCTTACTAAGGTAACCTCACTGCTGGTACAATGATTTTCACCAATGATGTGCTTTTTCCTTAAAGGAAGGCGGAGTTACAAGTTAGTGTCAGGGCCATAAATAAGAGGGTCCTATGTCAGGGAAATTAGAAGTCAGTTAACATAACTGTATACTGAGACTGAGCATTAGAGGGCTTTTCTAAACCAAGGCTGTTGAAACTGAGCAGTGAAGTAATCAGATAGTTATTAGGAAGTTTAGATATAAAATCAACAGTAAGAAAGCATTTTCTCTTGGCTGACCGATTAGCCGTGCTTAAGGCAGCATGAATCCAGTACTTAGTACCTTGTTGTTTTCAGTGCTTCTGCTGCTGACCCACAGAATTCAGGAGCTGGTGGAGGCGTGCAGCTGTGCCCCTGCTCACCCACAGCAGCTCATCTGCGATTCTGCTTTAGGTGAGTCACAACTATTATATGCTTCTAAGTTTGATGGTAGGAAATCAAAGGAAGCTAGTCCAACTGCTGCAATTTATTTTTTTTAATTATTCTTTTTTTTTTTTTGTACTGCTGTAGGGGAATATTTTAACCAGTTGGCTTAGTCTGCAGTTAGGATTTTAAAACAAAATGATTGCAGACATCCCTTTTAAAAATATGGCTATGGGGGAAAAAAATGTGGTAGTAACTGTTCTGGTTTTTTGTTTGTCTGTTTTTTCCAGAATATTTTGTGGTTACAAATTGTTGAAATTAATATATTATTTAGTCTTTTTCTTTCCTTCTTAGTAAAAACTTGTGTATTAGCTCCTAACTTAGAGTAAGCAGGGAATAATACTTCTAAATGTCTACTGTTCACAGTATCTATAATAGACTATTCTATCGAAATATTATTACTATAAATAAATATTATGCATATAGATGTTATGGCACTCTGGAAAAACAAAAGAAAATAAACAAAAATAAAAGCCTCTGATGACAGCATCTTGAAACACTCGATCTTTGTTCTGCTATACTACAATATCTTATTTTGCTGCTGTTGTTGTTGCTTTCCAAAAAGTACTTGAGGACAAAATTGATATGCCCTTTATTTTACGCAGATAAGCTGTCTACAGGACTTCTGCATAAATACGACTTTCCAGTCTTTAGGACAGTTTTATTTCACGATATTCAATCAACACCGTGGTTGTCAAATGACTTATAGAAAGAAACTAAAGATCTCAAAATTAGACTGCATGGGGATAAGAAAATGTGACATTTTGCAGTCTTTTGATTTCATTAGCTCAAGCTGAGGCTGGTTAGCTTCCATCTAGTGTGAACAGTAAATGTAGAACATGAGTTTCCAAAGTGTCACAAAATTAGCATCTCTATGGGGCAGGCAATACCTTCTGCATACTGATTAATTGCTTTTATACCCTGACAGAAAATCTTTGTAGCCATGACAAACTCTAAGCTCTATTTGTGGCCATCAGTAAAAGTGGTTTATAATCTGGTTGTGTTAAGCAATCTTTTTCATTAAATTACCTACACCAGGCATTACAAACTTGGAGTGCAGGTGTGAAAGAAAATAGAAGTTGTACTTCCAGGAGCTTAACTATGTATGTATACATTTAACAGCATTAATCTACTGCATTCCTAGATTTAATGAAGTAACAATTTTCAAGAAACTTATTTAGAGATTTATCTAAATAAATAATTTTACAGTACAGAGGAAATACTCATTACAAGCTATATTCTTTAGGGAAACCATTCTGGCCATTCATATTAAGGCAAGTTCCCACAGAAACATTTTTAAAAGGGTAGGTATATGCTACTTTTAATATATGTTTAAATAAAACATAATGTACCTTACATTTATGTAAAATACAACTACATTATATTTGGACTTGGTGCTCAGGCTCTGACTCACACAGACACTCCTGTTTAAGTAAATTGCACCTTTCACCTAAGGTATGTTTACATCTTGAATCCCTTTGTTCATTATTTATCATTTTTAAAATAGCATTTCTATACATTCTAATATGATAGAGAGGTACTGATATTCATTCACAGAAATATTTGTACATATACCTTTAGATATGCATATATATACATTTGCTTATATGTACATACTGCTCTAAGCCTTCATGGATGAATTAATTGCTTTATTCTGGACACAATGCCTCACATAAGCAGAGCAAAATGACTTTAAAGGAGCTGGAGAACACCAGTGGAGTGTTTGCACTGTGTAAGAGAAATCTCTGCAAACCACTTTGGCAAAGGCAGCTCCTCCATCCCTGATGCCAGGGCTGGGACTCTCCTGGGGAGCACAAGACTGGAGTCCCGCCACACAGCACAATCCCCACAGGAATTAGGGCTATGCCTCTGCAATGCTGCTTCCTTAGAAGCAAAGCAGGTCTGAAGCCACACCTGTGTCCTTCATGCTACTTGGCTCTTAAGAGGGAACGTGTAAACTGGGCCATGCTATTAAGTGTCCCATGTAGTAGATTACTTCAGACTTATATACATAATATACATATACAAATATACATTTTAAGATACAAGAAGATTAAAGCTCAAACTGAAGATGTGTACCTTAATTTCAACATATTCATACTTAGAAAATATTGATAAACAAAGAGGCCAGCTCCTCAGCTGCCAAAATCCATGGTAGTTAAATGCTAATCCAGCTTTTTACTAAGACTAAATAACCGCAAAAGGTTGAATAGTTCATACATCTCTGTACTCACAAACACATTCAATTATACCCTTGCAGAATAAAAATCCATCACATTTTATTAAAACCAAGAAACCATGCCATGCCTCTAAGTTCCATGTTAAGTAAAACATGAGATGGTCTCAGTCTTGCTCATAGCCATTATATGTACTTCAGTTACTGCATTATTTCTCAGTTTTGCTATCTGTAAGTTTTCAAATTTCCTTTAGGATCACTTGGGATTTAGATAGATTCAACCTCTTCCACCTCCATTTTCACTCTATAGACATTACTTCAGCCACTAGAATATGTAACGCTACTCAGGAACCTTAGCATTTATGTAAGATACACAAGAAAAGAACATAAAGAAATTAAGTCTGGGACAAGCTCTTCTCACTTTCACATTTGTTATCTGATTATTACTGTGCTATTTTTTCTTTTCCTGACAGGAGGCTTTTGTGCTTTTACATTCTTCATAAATACTCAACAGCTACCACACAACCTAAGAAAGCCTGTTATTTCTGTCAAGTTTCTTACAGACCTAGAGCAAGAGAGTGTTTCTGGTCCTGGCAAGGTGGTAGCTAAAACAAAAACAACAGATGAGTGAAGAGCATTGCATGTGTGACATGGCTGTATTCCACAGGAAGAACAGTAATGATGAGGTAGTAGATATGATAAGAAATCATGACTATTATGTTGGCTCTGCCATTTATGTGACCTTGGGTTTATTAATTTTCCTGCTTAGCTTTAAAAAGGTGTGATTTTCGTACAGATTTAGGTAGCTCTCATGAACTTCTCAGTAGTTTTAATTTTCAGTTCAAAGAGAAGTAAATCCTCATCAGTATGAAGTGCCTAGCACCATGAAGATATGCTCCTTTTAGTAGAAAATAGATACATTTCTTTTGTGTTCCTCTAAATGGTGCTTAAATCCAATTATAATGTGCAGAATGCCTTCAAACCTCAGTGAACACCTATACTTGTCAAAAGGATTTCCATCTGAAATGGAGATGGGAGCTTTATTAAACAGCAGTTCCATGTACTGCATAGTGATTGCAGGTTCTGAGTATCCTCACCAAAGAATTCAGGAGGCTTTCTCTGTATGGAAATGAAACACGATGAGGATGTGCTGTTTTAACCATTCCAATTCAGTAGTGAGGCACCCCAGTTTCAAGACGATAGAAGTGTCCTCTGAATTTTTAAAAAAAAAAACATGGATAAAACTGAGTTTATCAGATGGCCAAGAGGACATATTTTGCTTTTGCCGCTGACCTCAGTCACTCTTGGACTCAATTCCAAACCAGTGTTCACATCAAATTATATAGCCAGCAGAGAAATGGTACACATTGAGAGGACTAACTATTTTCTAAAGTCTATCAATTCTAATTCAAGCTGTTTTTCCTTTTTTTAGGCAAAAGCAAGGTTATTTTTTGGACAATAGGACTAATATGTAAATACTTTGCACTTCTAAGATAAGTTACACTAGTACCCTATTTTAAAGTAGACATCTTTCTGATTCCAATTCTTACATTTGTTGCTTTTTCTTAAAAATTAAAACAATCTTTTTACTGTATATTGGGTATGAGATTGGAATAGAAATGACTAACAGATCTTAAGTACAAATAAATACAGAAAATAGCTTCTGAGAATTGTATAGCTTTAGAGAAGAGCGACACATCTCAAAACACAATGGAAACTTTACAGCTGAAGCTTGGCAGTCTTTTCAGCCTGTTAAAATCTCATATGATCACCAAGATCATTTCGCATATCTTTACAATGCCTGTATATTAAATTTTAATCATGTTTAAAAATAACTATAAAATGTTTTATCTAAATATACCAGAATTAATTTTTCAGTTCCTCTGGTATAATATGAAACTCAATAATATAGAAATAGCATACTGTAATATTAAAGTGTTCATGGCTCAGTGCCCCACAATTTTGTCTCACTGTAATATAACTTTTAGCTCTGTACTGGAGTAGATTAGTTTGTTAGAGTGGGAAGTAACTTTGTTTGATGGGGAGAATCAGGTTTGGAAAGGGTATTATAAATGTTGACAGTACCCCTTCCAAGTTAAGGGAAAAAAAGGTACAAAGCAAAACTGAAGTAGACTTTATATTGTATTCATACTGTATTATGTTATATGCATCCACTATATTCTTATAGAGCCTATTTGCTCTGAGTAGTGTGACCAAGCAGTGGTCACACCGTGATTAAGCAGCTGTGTAATTTTTGTGTTTATGACTAGTGTCATACAAAAAGTAATAACTGTATCATGTAACAAAAGACCGTTAAAGACAGGGATGCAATAGAGTCCCATAAAAATCCCAACTGTTGAAACCATTGCTGGAGGAAAATGGGCAACATAGCCTTGCTTTAGAAGGCTGTCTGCAGACCATGGCTGGATCCTGACATCTCAGTGACAGACATGGGCTTCACACAGATTGCATCATGGAATTGCCTAAAGACTTTTAGATTTCTGTATAGCATGGAAAAAATATAGTACTTGTAATATGACTTGCATTTATATTATTTTCCTGCCAAATGGAGGCAGACTTTACTCTGTTTCATAAAGATGTCCTGCTATTAGAGTAGAAATCAGAGACAATAATGCATAGTTACATGTATATTTCTAGAGTAACTTGTCACTGACAGGAAAGGATTATGCACCTACCATTTCTCAGGGACCTCAAGCCAAAATGAAGGCTGAATTTCTATTCCAGGAACTGTGAATTCGATTACAGAAATAACATGCAGGATTTTTTTCTATTC